TAATAAAAAATAAAGGAAAAAGGGAGGGAGGGAAGGAAGGAGGCAGGGAGGGAGAGAGAGAGAGGGAGGGGGAAAGGAAAGGAGCAAAGAAGGAAGGAAGGAAAGGAAGGAAGAGAGGAAGAAATAAATGACCTAACCATTGCTGAAACTGGAAAATTCATGGGAATGAGAAGAGCAAATTATCTTCATTGCCTTTGGAAAACAACTTTATTTTGCTTAGTTGGGAAGTAAAGATGTAGAGAAACACAAAGACTTGCTTTTTATAATGGTTATGCATGCATATTTCTACAATCTAGATTAAAAGATAAAAGAAGTCTAAATATATATATGTGTGTGTGTGTGTGTGTGTGTGTGTGTGTGTGTGTGTTGCTTTATAATTCTGTTTCTCTGAAGAACCCTAATTAGATTTCTTAGTTCAAGCTGTTACAACCAGAGGATTTGTATGCATGCATAACCAATGGACATAGACAATAGGGAGGTGAGGGTATTTGTGGGGCATGGCCGGAGAGAGGTCAATGGTGTGGGGAGGGGAGGGAGGAGACATATGTAATACTATATATAATACTTTAAACAATAAATAATTCAAAACAAAATAAAGACTGTTAACACCCAATAGTTGATAGTTATGTCATGGTTTTCAAATTGTGATATGATTTCTATATGTCTAAGTCAAACAGATCTGCTTTTATTTATTTTACATATTAAATTCCAGATAAGATTCATTTTTTGGGGTCAGGGGAGGAGGTATGTAAGATCCATGAAGATTCTATCTATCCCTCCCTCTCTCTCTAAAAAAAAATCAATTAAAACATATTTTTTAAAAATAATATATCATACTTTTGATTAAAAAAATAATGAATGTTTAGTATGTCTCTAAATTAGTTGAAGGAAGTGTGAGATGATATATGTGAGCTGATTGAACTACATCAAAATCTCAAGAAATTGGCTTATGACTATTTTTTATTTTCTTTCCATATACAATGTTCAAAATTCTCTACAATGTTTAAAATTGGGGGGGGGGGGGGAGGGGGGAGACACACCCAAGAAGATAAATGCAAAGCAAATATCCAAAAATCCCAATCCTAAAGTTGAAGGGAATAAGCAAAAAGAAGTAAAATTAGCAAAGAATATGTAGTTAATATTGAAAATATAGCTGATACTCCCAACCTGGAGGGTAAGGAAATAAGGGCAATCCGGGGGAGCCATGGCATACCCCATCTTGAGGCCCATTCACCACACTGGTAGACAATGGTCTAAGACAAAGAAATAGGAATATTTACATCACTTACAATGACAAACATTATAAATCAGGACTTGTATTATTGTTTGGTTGGTCATCTAGGACTAAGAAAGTGATGGAGAAATACATTAATAAAGCAGAATAAAATTAAATGTGTGTTGTCAGTCTGTTCTCTATTTATGAGTCTATTTCCATTTTGTTTGTTAGTTTATCTGGAAAAAACCACCAACAACTCATAGACAGACAACAGCATGGTGATTACCAGAGAAAAAGGGGGTGGGGGACGTAGCAGAGGGTAAAGGGGGAATAAGGAGACTTGGCTTGGAGTAGTGAACACACAAACAATAAACGGAGGATGTAATATAAAATTGCACCCCTGAAGGCTACGTAATTTTATCAACCAACGTCACCCCAATAAATTCAATAAAAATAATTTACATTATAATTAATTATTTAAATTAAATGTGTGTTGTTTTCATAGTCATAACTGCACCAAAAATTTTAAGAAAAAAATTCTTCCAGTTTTCAAAAGCTATTATCTAATCAGCAAAGAATTTATTCACGTCATGGACAAACATCCCTATATATGCCTTTGCCTGTTTCACTTTCATCTTACTAATTAACATAAAGTAAAATATAAATCCACATTTATGTCAGCACTACCTTTAGTAGTCAATTGCAACCAGAGGTTGGCTATGGACACAAAAATTCACAATTCACCAAATCATCCCATGTAAATCAACCAACTATAGGAATTTACAATGAAGAGGATTGAATATTTTGTCATTATTTGTGAATTGTGTGCTACATAACCTTTATATAGTAATATTGATAAATAAATTATATACATATATATGCATCATTTTCCAGAGAACCTATTGTTAAACATGTATCAACACCCACTATCTGTAAACATTTTTTCCTCAGTAGAAGATTACTAACAAAAATAATTTGCGGTCCTAACTGGTTTGGCTCAGTTGATAGAGTGTCGGCCTGCAAACTCATGAGTCCCAGGTTCAATTCCATTCAAGGGCATGTACCTTGGTTGCATGCACATCCCCAGTAGCAGGTGTGCAGGAGGCAGCTGAATCGATGCTTCTCTCTCATCGATGTTTCTAACTCTCTATTCCTCTCTGTAGAAAATTAACTATATATATATATATATATATATATATATATATATATATATATGTTTTTAAATAACAATTTGCAAATGTAGTTACAGCTGAAGAAGTCAACAGGGAAGCACTAAAGCAAAAAATGTAAAGTGAAAAACACCTTTTCCTAACCAGGACTAAGGAGGAGTAAATAGCTAATGTTTTGTGCCTTATGTGGAGGAAAACTGCATGAGGTTAATTATTCATCTTTCAGCTTCTGCCACAAGAAGAAAAAGAAAGTAAGAAATTTGAGAGCAAGAAGGTTAAAAAGGTCTTCTCTATAATTAGCTTAACAAGTAAATTAAGGTGCAGAGATTCCCAGGGGCTAAGATGGAAAGCAATGAGGTCCTCCAGCATCTACCTAACTCTCTGCATCCTCTGCCATTCTTCCAAAAAATTACACTCTTTCTCCTCTAATTAGATTGTGACTTAATGTGGTAAAACTGATTTCCCTTGTATTGAAACAGTACTTTATAATGTTTATATTAATTATCCCGTTTGAGACTCATAACAATTTTATGAGACAGGTATGACTAAGTTTTAAAGGAAAAAAAAAAAAAAAACTCCCAGGGAAAACTTGGGTTTTTGTGTGCTTAATTTAAGCAGGCTTAAGAAAAATGCTTCTTTCAAATCACCTATATTTCTTTTGAGTGCACTCATATCAGGTTCCTTAAAATTTTTTCAGCAGTTTTGTTTCTCAAGTATTTGCCCTTTATCGTTCTTACTGGGGAACTGGGGGGGGGGGGGGGGGGGGGGGACAAAAACACCTGATTACAATTAACTAAAGGGCAACCATTAATTTTTGAAACCCTGGCCTCTGCCTTTATCATGAAGTCTTCTGAAAGGTAGACCGACAATCCCTTTCGTAGTACTCAATTTCCTTCCTTAGTGCAGAAACTTATACACAGTATGAACTCAAATAACTCCAGTAAAAATGGTTTTCCCAGTCTGCTTTCTTGGATTACATGACAAGCACACATCTTAAGGGAGACACATCTTAAGTTGCCCACTGCTATAAAATGCCCAAACAGCCTCATGAAGAAGGGCAATTCAGGATCAGTGAGAAAAATAAATATCTGTAGTTCCTTCTCAGATGGAAGATGTTGGGGGAGAGAAGAGAAGGAAGCAGGGAGGGAGGGAGAGATAGAAATGGCCGAGTATTAAATCCCTCTGCTTGTTCCAGCAACTTTCACAGACTTCATCTCCTGAATCTTCAACCAACCTGACCAGGTGGTCATGAGCCCCATTTTTCAGATGAAGAAACTGAAATTCAGAGACATCAACTGCTTGATAAGTAACAAATTTGTTAAAGATGTATCTGTGCTTTCAAAGACCATTCTTTATCTCTAGACCATTGGTTCTCAAAGTGTGGGTCCTAACCACCAGCAGCAATACAACCTGGGAATTTGTAAGAAATGCAAATGCTCAGGACCCACCTCAGACCTTCTGAAATAATAGGGGTGGACTCCAACAATCTGTATTTTAACGAGCTCTCAGGGTCATTCTGACAAACACTAAAATTTGAGAACACCTGCTCTAGAGCAGAAGTTAACATTTTCTGTAAAGGGCTAAATAGAAAATATTTTAGGCTTTGCAGGCCAGATGGACTATGTTGCAACTATTCACCTCTGCCAGATTAGTACAAAAGTAGCCATAAACAATACGTAAGCAAATTAACATAGCTATGTTCCAATAAAACTTTAATTACAGACAATGAACTCTGAACTTGATATCATTTTCACACGTTGCGAAATATCATTCTTCTTTCGAATTTTTTCCAAACATTTAAAAATATAAAAACCATTCTTATCCCAAGAATTATATAAAACAGGCAATAGGCTAAATATGGTCCATGGGCCACAGAGCTGGATTATGTTACCTATTGTCCTAACACTCATTAGGACAAAGACACAAATAGGCAAATCTCATACAAGGAGAAATGTTGCAAATACAAATTATAAAACTTCTCTATGGTCTAAAGAAAGCAGACGGCCCAACTGGTTGTGGCAATCAGGAAGGCTTCCTTGAAGAGATGACAATCTAGGTGGGCCTTGCATGGTAAGTAGGAAAGATTTCAACAAGTAGAGACAGTGAGGATAGACTATGAAGAGGGAATGGCTTGACAAAGAGGTGAGGATTGGCATATTTGCCCAAATGCCCACTTCCACCCCAAATACTCCAATATCTTAAAAAGAAATGAACTGAAGATGCTTTGGGCAATTATAATATGTAAAAAGTGTTTCAATGCTTTGGTGAGTACCAACTCAACAAAATACACTGAGAGAGACAAATTGTGACAACTAAAATAACAGCTTTACATGGGAAAACTATTATCAGTGATATATCCTTCTCTCCCTACAGGCCTCAAGCTGGCAGGAAAGTGTCTTATTTCTTACAACAAATTATTTCCCGGTGCAAATTTGACTGCATGAAATATGCTCCCAAGTATCATACAGTATAAGAAATCATCCTCTTAAGATAGTTTCTAGTTATAAGGATTAGTTCCCTTGAAATCTCTTTTGTTTTCCTAATTCTTTACATACCTCCAATGTCAGAGAGTGTTGTTGTTGTTTTTCAGGCTACACATTTCCATTAGATTTGCTTCAATACCAGCTATTAAAAGGAAACACTACCCAGTCTGGTAATATTTTCTAGAATAAGAAAGAAGGCAAATTGTCAACTTGGAAAGGAATAATGAATTCCTCTCCTGATAGATATCCAACTTCAGATAGCAGAGTGCTTAAGAGACCATTTTCTAAAGTCAAATTTTCTGGGCCCAAACCCAGTCTCCCACTTAATAAGCTATATAAACTTGACAATTACTCGTTTTTCAGAGCCTCCATTTCCCTAACAATAAAATGGGGAAAGGTAGTTATGTATTTGCACAGAACAGAAAAGGAGGCTTAGTTAGTTTTAACCATCATTTTCCAGTAATCCCTTTCCTCAATAATTAAACAAACCTGCCATTTCTTTTAACTAAATTAATTATTCTCCTTTTTAGATTTATTAAGTTAAATTTATTGGACTGACATTCATTAATAAAATTATGAAGGTTTCAGCCGAAGCCGGTTTGGCTCAGTGGTGGAGCGTCGGTCTGTGGACTGAAGGGTCCCGGGTTCGGTTCTGGTCAAGGGCATGTACCTTGGTTGTGGGCCCATCCCCAGTGGGGGGTGTGCGGGAGGTGGCTGGTCGATGTTTCTCTCTCATCAACATTTCTGGCTCTCTGTCTCTCTCCCTTCCTCTCTGTAAAAAATCAATAAAATATATATTTTTTTAAAAAAATTATGAAGGTTTCAAGTGCACAATTCTATAATACGTCATCTATATAGTGCATAGTGTGTTTACCACCCAAAGTCAAATCACCTTCCTTCACCATATATTTGACCCCCTTAACCCTTTACCACTTTCTCCCAACCCCTTTCCCTCTTGTAACCACTGAAGATACAAATAAATGGAAAAATATTCCATGCTCATGGATTGGAATAATCAATATAGTAAAACTAGCGGCCCAATGACAAAATGTGTGCAAGAGTAGGCCTTCCTTCCCGCCCCCACTGTTGGCATTGGCTTCCTTCTGGCACTGGGGACCTGGGCTTCCCTCACAGCCCCAGCTTCATCTGGAAGAACGTCTGATCTAATTAGCATATTATGCTTTTATTATTATAGAAGGCCATATTACCCAAAGCAATATACAGATTAAATGCAATCCCCATCAAAATCTTAAAGGCATATTTTTAAAGAAATAAAACAAAAAAAAATCATCAGATTTGTTTGGAACCACAAAAGACTGATAATAGCCAAAGCAATCCTGAGGGGAAAAAACAAAACCAGAATTATCATACTCCCTGACTTCAAATTATACTACAAGACGACAATAATCAAAGCAGCATGGTATTTGCAAGAAAACAGACACACGGCCCAAGGGAAAAGAATTGAGGGCCCAGAAATAAACTCACATGTATATAGGCAAATAACTTTTTACATAGGAGCCAAAAACATACCCGAAATAATCTTCCTCAATAAACAGTACTGGTAAAATTTGAAAGCCACATGCAAAAAGAATGAAACAAGACTGCTATTTATCACCAAATGCAAAAATTAAACTCAAAATGAGTGTCAGACCCAATAAAACCTGAAACAATAAGTTACATAGGAAAAAAAAAAAACACAGATAGTGAAATGATATTCTCTTCATGAAATCTAATGATATGGCAGCAAGTTCAAGACAGGACCCTGGAGGGATCAGAAACTGCTTACCAAGCAGGAGGAGGCAAAAGGCAGAGAGACAGGGTGAAGCTGACTGTTTCCCCTCTGGCAGGGGAAGGACAGGGCAGACATCTTACTGTTAGAGGGGTTTTGAGTTTGGACTTTGCAATGTATGAAACATATCGAATATTGAAATGGGACCCCTTTGGGACATACAGTGAAATGCTATGTGTTATCTAAGAGTGGCTGGAAAAGCTGAAAAGACCATCTAAGCTTCCACCAGGGGCAAGAGAAGAACTTGTCCTATCGCATGGGTAGAAGTGAGAAAAGGGAGAAAGATAAACTTTTTTAAAAATATATTTTATTGATTTTTTTACAGAGCGGAAGAGAGAGGGATAGAGAGTTAGAAACATTGATGAGAGAGAATCATCGATCAGCTGCCTCTTGCACACCCCCTACTTGGAATGTGCCCGCAACCAAGGCGCATGCCCTGGACCGGTATTGAACCTGAGATCTTTCAATCTGCAGGCCGACACTCTATCCACTGAGCCAAACCGGTTTCAGCAAAAGATAAACTTTTTGATCACGCTCCAAAAGGCCCTATACAACTGTATGTGCATAGACTGTCTCCCTGCTGTGGCTGTTGGGGATAGTGGAAATGGCTCAACCCTTGGAGTCATAAAAAACCTGAAACCTCACCACCTATTAACCTCTTTGAGGTGCATTTTTATCAATTAAATGCGGGACACCAAAGTAAGTGGGAACTCAAGGAGACAAGGGAAGCACAGTTCTTCCCACAGTGCCTGCCATCCTGCAGACCAAATAATCTCATGTCATGATCATTAGCACCCTTGTATGCTCTCACTGCCATTCAGTGGTCACTTGCGAAGTCACTTTAATATTCACTAACAGCCAGACCAATTTGCAATCAGTGCTTTCATCTGTCAGATGCAATCCAGCAGAGTCTGCTGGTGTGAGGTGTTTCTCTCCCCAGGCAACATTGACATTGACTTTCCTTCACTCATTACTATCTCCTCTCCGTGGGCTCACTGGTAAAAAAAAAAAAAAAAAAAAAAAAAAAAAAAAAAAACCCACAAGTCCCCAGACCGAATGAACTTGGGGAGAACTGGCTTGTGGAGCAGCAGAGAAAGCTTGCCACCCTGCCGCACCTCTGTGTCCTGTGGGCTCCACAGCTGGTCCTTTGTGCACACAAATCACACTGTGTTGCAATTACCTCCTGAATGAAACAGGTTCTCCACTCTCTGTGAACTCCTTCAGAGCAAGGACTGGAACTTTCCTCCCTGCATCCAGCAGTCTAGCTCCTAGGTTGCTTAAATAACTTAATGATAGTATTCCTTAAAGTAAGAGAAAAAGCAACTTATTAAAAAACACACCAGCACACTCATTATAAATCTACATTTGTGCTCACAAGCTTCCTCAAAAAGCCATCCATTTACTCGGGCATTTCCCTGTTGATCAGTGTCCACTGTTTGATTCTTCTGGGATATTTGAACATGAGAAGAAAGGGGAGATAGGGAGTGTGAACTGGGACATGGGTGAGTCAACAGTGCTCTGTCCCCCATACACAGGGTGCCTGCTACCATTCCGTTATGTACAACAGATACAGGGTGTCCTAAATCATGTCCCTGTGGTCAGAAAGGGTCACCACCAATACCTGCCTCCTCTGGAAGAGACCTCATGGAGGGAATAGGAAACAGGGATCCAAGAGCATGTCCACAGCCAGTCGGCTTTCTTTTCCAGATTTGTTTCCAAACGAGGGTTTTGTCACTTCCTTGAAAGAGGCCTCCCTGGACCTGTTATCCCACATGGCCATGTGTATTCATGCATGAGAGAGAAGGAACCCACGGCCGGAGACCCTCCACATCCCTGAGAGAGAGTCAGAAGCCACCCAGAATCCCAGAATCATGCCACAGCCTGCCACGCCTCTTGTCCCCAGCTGTGCCAGGGCAAGAATGCTGTTTCCAAAGCAACGGTGACATCGTACTTCATTAATGCGGCAGACAGAGAGTCCCACATGCACCCACACATGCAAACACAGACAATCGCATGCCAGCATGGGCACCTGTAAGCAGGCACAACGTACCGTAGAAACATGAGAATCTTTTTAAAAGAGACAAACGGCTTCTTATTTCTTATCTGGCCAGAGAAGGGAGCGTTCTAAGGATATATTTCATTGGTTTCATATCTGTCATTTAATATTTCTTACCAGTAACGGGGGAAATTGAAAACCCAAATGCTCTCTATCTGTTTGTAAATGACTGCTGATCCCATTAGTCCATCTTATCTCCCACGGGGAGAGCAGAGATTATATCTGGTCTGAGACGTGAGGCCCTTTTCTCCTAATGCCTCAATTGGTGACCTCAACTGTATCACCCACGCTATTTCCTCCTCTCTTTCCTTCCCTCTCCCGTTCTTCCTTCTTCCTTCATGGTCTGCTTTAATTGGAATGTCTCTACCAGGAAAATCAGAAACCTGAAACCACCTCCTGGTGTCAGATTCTGGCAGCTGAATGTGAGCTGGGGTGGGGCATGCCCAGAGCTTCAGGATGTGGGGCAAGAAGAACCATGTTGGCACCACATGTCTCAATCTGCATGGGGCAGACTGAAGGCAAAAAATGGGCTCTGAAGAGCTGGGTTTGCTCCTCAGGCCAGGCACGACGGGCTGGTGCATCTGGGAGGAAGAGGGGGTTGCTGCACCGCTGGTGTGCAGGGGAGCAGGCCAGGGCCAGCCCTGATAGCACCTTTGCAGAAGTGGAAAGCGCGCCCCCTTTGGGCTTGACAAGAGAAACTGTGCTGGATTTTAGCTCCCACCAATCCACACATCCTAGAGTGGCCCTGAGGGAGGATAGAGTGGGTTTGTAGTCTCACCCATGTCCCAGTTCACTCTCCCTCTCTCTCTCCCCTCTCTTTTCATGTTCAAATACCCCAGGTTCCCAAACATTTTGCAAATTGAAGAATCAAACAAGAGAACTTTGAAGGGAGTTTAGTTCTGTGTATGAGAAACCAAAGAACAAGCAGGACTTTCCAGTCAACATGGTTAGGAGCCCGTGGGTCAAAGGAAGGTACCCAGAGTTCTCACGCTGGCCTGGCTATTGACCATGAAACACGAGGCAAGTTACTCAAGCTGACTGTGCCTCATTTTCCTCATCTCTATACTGGAGGCCTGCTCCCAGGATGCTTATGAGGATGAAATAAGCTCATACCTATCAAGTGGCACATAGCAAGCACTCAACAAATGTTATGTAGTCTTACTCACCTGAAATAAGTTAGTTTCCAAGTTACTAGGTAATTTAGTTTCATATACATTATATTACAGGTGTTCTTTTCCCTGTCAGCCCACCATCAGCACATAGTTTTAAGGCACTCACCCAATGGGAAGGGGGATGACCAGTGTTTGGAAAGTGGATCCTAGGAGTGAGAATGAC